AACAGAAACCTAGGTTTAGAGACAGCCTGTAGGGATTAATAGGGACTCTCCTTAACAGAATAAAAACTGGAGCAAAAGCTACATTTGGAGAAGGGGTATAGTGTTTATGATATTGCTTTCTGGAGAGAAATGGAAAAAAGGTATCCCAAATCATAAGGCTAGTTCTTAACCTGACCTGTAGTTGGTATCCTGGAAAGCCTGTTTGTATTCCTAGTACCCCAAGCCCAGGGTCTTATACAGAATAAGCAGTTAAATAAATGTTTGTTGAATTGAACTGAATTGAATGTAAAGTGCTTTCTTTTTCTTTTTTTTTTTTAGGCAATTGGGGTTAAGTGACTTGCCCAGGGTCACACAGCTAGTAAGTGTCAAGTGTTTAGTCTGAGGTCACATTTGAACTCAGGTCCTCCTGACTTCAGGGCCGGTACTCTATCCACTGTGCTACCTAGCTGCCCAAGTGCTTTCTTTATATTGACAATTTGCCTGTTAATTCAAGTGTTTGACCAGCCTTAATATAGCTGCAAGAATACTAACCTACAAATAACATAAAAGTCCTTCAAAAATTGATGTAGAGGTACCAGATATGATTATTATTATTATTAGATAATAACTACTAGCTCTACATCTTACCACTGGTAGTAACTTTTATTTAACATAGAAGAGAAGAAAGAGAAACTTTAAAATACAAGGTACTTGATGAGCTGGGCAGGCAATGAACTGTATTAGAAAATTTCTTTCCAATTACTCTAGGCTTTTAGCAATTATACTTTACCTAAACATTAATGACCCCTTCAAAAACACTGCTAGAGACAAGCTGTTGTTAACTTGTTCTGTTACTCAGTTTGTGTTTTTTTAGTCAAAACTTTGATTATGCAAATTATTTTTTCTGAAACTATCCAAACATAGCACCTCAAGGCAAATTTAGGGAGCAACAACTTTCAGTTTGACAAATAGCTGCATTTTAAAGTTTCTACTTTGTTATTTCAATAAAAATATGAATATCTGCCATTAAATGAGACTAGGTAGAGAAGTATACTAAAGTACAATTTTAACATTAAGTATTCAGGTGTTCATTCCCTTGGCTTCACTCTCAAATCTAAATATCATTTTAGTTCCACAATAATTATTTGCAAAGATAGAGCTTTGATTATTTGATGGGGTTGCTCTTTAGAAAACTCCCATGAGATATTCTTTCCCTGGTGCAGATTGCAAACTACGTACAAGAAATCCTGCCTTGAGATCTCTCCTGGTGACTCTCCTTTTTAATATTTTAAAAATAGTTTTATATATAAAACTTTTGGCGATGGTGTAGGGTAATGACAATATTAAAATTTTAAATACCAAACAATAAATACTAAATTTGTATTAAATATTAATATTTTACCAACTGAATTCTATAAATTAAATATAAAACATTTAATTTTCAATATTAATATTTTACCAGTGCAGTACTAAGATTGTCTGTCTGTTATCTCTACCTCTCATGATATGCATAAACTGGCTCACCTTTTCCAGGCACAGTGTCTTTGATGATGATAATTAGAAATAATAATCCTTACTGAAAATGCCAAACAGAAGCACAATAAACACTTTAAGATAAAATCAGTTTGCAAGGTCATTCTACTTAAAAGTGGAAAAAGGAAGTAACACAAATTTTAAGCCCTTATCAAGTTTTCTTCTGGAAATAATGGATGAAACTGGAAAGAGGAAGAGACAAAAAATGGAAAAAATCAGTCAAGATTTCTGCAACAAACTATTTTTTCCTGCAATACCCCACAGATGACTACAGCTTTACTTCCAGCTGGGTCCCCTATAGCTAATACCCAGAGGAGCAAATCCTGTGAAGAAGGGACCTACAATCCCCACCACCACCAATTGCCAATGGGGCAGGCAAGTACATCTAGCTGAAGGGCAAAGTGTCAAAGGGAAAGAAACAGCAGGTAGCATGTACCTGGTCAAACTACTGTCACTATTTTGCCAAATACAATGGTAGAGAAAAGAACAGAGTCCAAGAAACTGAAAACTACAGTGCCCTCAAGACTATTTTATTTATTTATTTTCACTTTCAGCCTGGCCTCTCTAGCCATCATTATGGGGAACATTTATGGAGAAGGGATACAGCATGCCCACCACCACTACCCCAGTGCCAACTGCCATCAATGGGCAGGTAAGCCCAAGAACCTCTGGATTAGTAATGCCTCAAGACCACAAACCAGGCTACTAGCCATTGCCCAGGGAAGTAACCTTTGTAAAAACTAGTTCTGTAGATACTGTAGCCCCTAGGAGCTAATAGTAATTGAAGACCCAGAAAGCAAAGTTTTTACAACCAAAGGTCTTGGCACTGTCAAATGGTTCATCTTCAGAAATAGCTTTTATCAATGGAAATGACATTAAAGAAAGTACATTGGAATCTGCTTTGCCTCTCCCCTCTAAGGACCATAAGGCCTTTGCATGTGATTTGCAGAGGTAATCTCTCATATGTGTTGTCTCCCCCCAGGAGAATATGATCTCCTTGAGATAAGACATTGTTTTGTTTTTCTTTTTGTACTCCCAGCACTTAGCACATATTGCTTTGCACTCTTAACAAATGCTTTTTCATTCATTCATTCATCATTTGCACTTTAATGTAATAGTCCCTTTTGCTGAATAAATAAATAGAAATGGCAACAGAGAAAACAAAGACAGGAAGCCTAGCTAGATCAAAAGAAGTACACCTACAGAAGACCTACATGCTCAAGGTAACAATTCTGAGGGTACTCACCAAATAATTCTCAAGATATCTAAAAGAGGGGCAGCTACTGAATAATTTTTTTTAAATAATAGAAATTATTACTACCAAAAAGGGAACTGAGAAGATAATCAGTTACTACCAATCCATGTCTAATTTCCTATTTCCATAAAATCTTTGTGAAAATAAATTATATGGCTATTAAAAACCATCCTTGATGAAATATGGGAACAGGACAGGAAAGCTTTTGTAAATGATATTCCAGAGCAGACCATACCTTTACAGTTACACAACTAACTGAAAGATGTAGAAAATACAACATTCCACTGAACTTATTGATTTTTTTAGAAAAAATTTGTTAGAGCAAAATTTAATCTAAAAGGACTTTCCAACAAGATGTCTTCCACATATAGGGTAAAATCATAAAAGATTCCTCTATAGACACAATGACAGAGAAAACTTTAATTCTCTGATTATTAATATGAAGTGAGACAAAAAACAGACACTTGCCACTTTCATAGAAGAGAAATTGTACAATCCAAACTGAACAGGAATGGTGAGGTACTGTTTCTTTCTCTTCAAAAACCATCAGTGCCTCCCTACTGCCTACAAGATAAAATACAAATTCCTCGACCCAGTTTTTAAAGCTGTCTCAAATCTGGCTTTTACATGGATCAGGTAAGGATTGGACTAGATGAACTGAGGTTCCTCCCGGCTCAGATTCTTTGACACCTGTTCAGCTTTATTTCACATTACTCTCCTAGGTACCTGCCAACTCTGGTCATCCTCCATGATTGAAATTCACTTCCTCAGTTCAGTCCAGCAAAATCCTCTCCTTTCAAGGTTCAGCTCCACTGCCACTTCCTCTATGAAGCTTTCCCTAATTTCTATAGTTGAATGTCTTCTATCTTGCCTCATATTTTCCTAGAGTACTTTGTCAGAATCTCTTCTTTGCCTTTATTACACAATTACCAGACTGATCCATGACATGCTACCTCTTACTGGGACCATCATCTCCACCATCTCCTTCCTGCCAGTACTCTGCCGGTTTCTCCCTGTTGCTCCCCCACCCCACCCCACCTCTTGCCTTATCTTGAAGGGGGCAATGAGTTGGGATTGGTATAAAGGCCTATGTCACTTCTGGGACTTTTTCTCCCTATTCAGTAGTTCATGTACTTCCTTCTTGTCCATAAGACTATAAACTCCTTGGATTCAGGGGCTGTCTTGCTTGCTTGAAGTTTTATGTCCAGAACTTAGCACAGTGCAAATACTTAAATGCTTTATCTACTTTTTATTCATCTTCCCTGTATTCCTTTTAACAGAATGTAATTTCCTTGAAGGCAATAGCTGTCATTTTTATTTCTGTATATATATATATATATATATACATATATATATATATATATTGTCAAACACAGTGCTTTGTACATAGTAAGCACTTAATATTTATTAAATTCCTTAGTGTGCATTTTTTTTCTAATGCCCCCAATGCCCATCTGCTGGGCTTGGTAAATGAGGACTTGCTTGGACTTAGTAAGGAAAGGCACGAATTTTACCAATCCAAAATAAAATAACACTACACAAATGAATCCAAAGGCCTCATGAGGTTGTGAAGCAGCCTCCAAAACAAGGGAGGTTGCTTCTAGCAGGAGCCATTACTTAAAGATAGTTTTCTTCCATGGGACTGCCTGTAATCAGGAGCAAGGACGTCAAAAGGTTTCTTGTACACAACAAACTACATGCTTTGAGTGGAATTTGCAAATATTGCCATGCGGTCACAACCCAGAATAGGATGCCTCCGGAAGCAGTGAGTTCTGGAGGTCCTCAAAGGGAGACAATTCTTGCTCAAGTACTGGTTGAACTAAATGACCTCTGAGGACCCTTCCAGCTCTACCAGTCCTCACTTCTGACTCAGGCCTGGAGAGTCGCCTGGCTAGCGGTCCTACACCCTCCGCAGGCCGGCGGGTAGAACGTAGCAAGCCGGGCAAAGCCTCACCGGGCTAACGGAAGGAGGTTCCTGTCTATCAGCAGCCGAGTCTTCTTGATATTGAACAGCTCTGAAGCTGAGTTCTCCGTCCTTCAGTGACATCCTCGGATCCAGTAACTTGGGGGGGTGGGGGGGAAGCAGCTGTTGCCATCGCAACCCCGCACACAGCTGCCCAAGCTGCCCCTCTCACCCTATGCGCTCCTCTGGTAAGGGCCAAACGGGAGCTTCGGGGCAACAGAAAGGACGGAACGGATTAGCTTAGGGAGACCGGAGTCAATGCCTTTTTACCTCTTAAACTCCATACACAACGATCGCACAGAGAACCAGAGAATACTTCGGGACCATCCAAGCCACCCATATAAGCGCAATGGCCTTTTCCCCCTTCCGTTTTTCCCGCCCTTTGACCCCGGAAGTGAGCTGGAGAGGCCAAAGCTGGGGGCGGGGGCGGCCTGTGATGCTGGAACAAACATGGCTGCTTCAGTACCCCTATGCCGCTTGGGCTCTAGCCCGGGTCGTGGGCTGCTCCTGCTGCTAGGACTCCTGCAGCTCTTGGGTCACCTCGGCCAGGGCCGCGTCCACCACCTAGCGCTCAAGGTAGCAGGGTTCGGGAGGCTGGAGGAGGGGGGTGTCTGGCGGGGGGGCGGGGCGGGGGGCGCCTTGGAGGAATGCGGGCTCTTCCCTCCTCCTCTCTCTCTCTCTCCCCTCCCTCCCCTTCCCGTCCCCTCCTCTTCTCTTCCGCTCCTCCTTCCCCTGCTCTCCCTCCCCCTTACTCCCCTCTGTCCTCTTCCCTTCTCCTACTCTCCCTCCCCTCCTGTATCTCTCCTCTTCTCTTCCCTCTCCTCTTCATCCTCTACTTTCTCTCCACTCACTCCTCCTCTCTTTCTGTATCTCTCCTCTTTCTCCCTCTCCTTTGTCTCTTCTCTCCATCTCTTTTTCTTTTCTTCTCTTCCTCCTCCACTTTTCCTCCCCTCCTGTATTTCCCCTCTCTCTCCCTCTCCTCTTATAGCTCTCCTTTCTTCTCACCTCTTCTCTCTCTCCCCTCCTTATCCCTCTCCTCTTCTCCCTCCCCTCCTGTATCTTTCCTTGCCCCCCCCTTTTTCTCCCTCCCTTCGCTCTCCTCTCCTATCTTTCCTCTCCTTTCCACTTCTTTCCCTTTCTTCCTCTTTTCCTCCCCCCCTCTTTCTCTCCTCTGTATGTCTTCTCCCACCTTCCTCTCCTTCTCCTCCTCTCCCTCTTCTCTCCAGTTAGTTATCCCTTCCTCTTCCCTCCTCTCCTGTTTCTTTCCTACCTCTTCCAAGTTAAGGGAGTGGCCATCAAGGTGCTTTGGGAGTGTGTTCCTCACTGATTTGAAATGTCATCACTCTGGGGACTGGCAAGGCCAGGAACTATTCCATTGCCCAGGAAGAAGGATCATAAAAATGTTAACATTGGAAAGGACTTTAGAAATCCCTCTCATTTTACTGGTGAGGGAACTGAGACCGAGAGAGTTTGCAAGTTTGGGAGGATCTTGCCCAAGGTCACACAGGTAGTAATTTTCTTTTTCACATTTTAAAAATAGTATTTTTTCCCCCAGTTGCATGTAAAGACAATTTTTAGCATTCATTTTTTCAAGATTTTGAGTTCCAAATTTTTCTCCCTCCCCTTACCTCTTCCAAAAATGGTAGGCAATGGGGCAGCTAGGTGGCCCTGAAGCCAGGAGGACCCGAGTTCAAATTTGGCTTCAGACACATAAAACTTACTAGCTGTGTGACCCTGGACAAGGAACTTAACCCCAATTGCCTCACCAAAACAAACAAACAAACAAAAATGGTAGGCAATTTGATATAGGTTATACATATCACACTGGTAGTAAATAGCAGAGTTGGGACTCTAACTGAGGTCCTCTGGTTTGAAATTTCTCAAGTCTTTTTGAAGTTCTCTTCTTCATTAAGGAACAGAATTACTATGTTCCCCCTGTTTTCAGTTTTCTCTCTAACCTTTTGACTTTGTCCCACCTTCCTTTCATTTTTCAGTGATACTGATAGGTTTTTCAGTCTGCCTCCTCTCTCCAGTAATAATAGGACTGTGCTTCCTTCCCAGTAATCCTGTGAAGTAGGTAATCTAAGTATCATCTCTATTTTATAGAGGAGGAAACTACAGCTCAGGGATATGAATTGACCTGACAGTGTGGTGTAGTGGGAAAAGCACAAGACTGGACAGTCAGAAGACCTGGGTTCTAGTTCTGTCCTTTTATGAGCCCTGGGACATACCTCAAATCATTTCGCTTCAGTCAAGTCTCTGTCTTCCCTAGCTTCGCTTTTCTCTGAAATGAGGCACTGCAACTAGATGGTGATAGGATTTAGAGCTGGAGAAACTTTAAAGGTGACCTAGTCCAAGCAGCTAGGCAGGTCAGTAGATAGAGTGGGCCTGGAGTCAGGACGATGTGAATTCAAATCTGGTACCTTAGATACTCACTAGCTGTGTGACTCTGGGTAAATCACTTAACCCTGTTTGCCTTAATCGTCTGGAGAAAGAAATAGCAAATCATTCCAGTGTCTTTGTCGAGAAAACACCATGGACAGTATGATCCATGGAATTACAAAGAGTCTGACATGACAAAACAACAAGAAGTCATTTTATATAATGAGGAAGATGAAGTCCAGAGAGGTCTTTTCTTGTTTTGTTTTGTTTTCTTAGTGTTTTCTTGACAAAGATACTGGAATAGTTTGCCATTTCCTTCTCCAATGGATTATGGCAAATAGGGTTAAGTGATTTAAGGTGAATCTTCCTGACTCAGGCTCAGCACTCCATCCACTGCATCATGTAGCTGCCCCATGCTCTTTCTTCTTCTTTTTTTTTTTAGCTAGGCAGTGGGGTTAAGTGACTTGCCCAGGGTCACACAGCTAGTGAGTGTTATGTGTCTGAGGCCGTATTTGAACTCAGGTCCTCCTGACTCCAAGGCCAGAGCTTTATCCACTGTGCCACCTAGCTGCCCCCTCCCCATGTCTTTCTTACAAGCTTCCATGGTTTTAATTGTTGACTCTATGCAGATGACTTTTATGGTTCAAACAGAATTATTAACTTTCTTTTATTTTCAATTGGCTGTCCTGGAGACATGTCAAACTCAACATGTCCAGAGTCATTATTTCTTTCCTCCTCTTGCCCATCCCAGATTTTAAGTACCCTATTTCTATCAAGAACGGCCAGGTGGCATAGTGGATAGAACAGTCAGGAAGATTCCTCTTCCTGAGTTCAAATCTGGGCCTCAGAGACCCTTACTAGCTGTGTGAGCCTGGGCAAGTCACTTAACCCTGTTTGCCTCAGTTCCTCATCTGTAAAATGAATTGGAGTAGGAAATGGCAAACCACGCCAGTATCTTTACCAAGAAAACCCTGAATGGTGTTGAAAGAGTCAGACATGGCTGAAAAATGACTGAACAACATCTCTACTGAAGACATCATTTAGTTACTAGGTTTACAGTCTTAGTGTCATTTCCACCTTCTCAATCTCTTTCGCCCCACATATCCAATCAACTGCCAAATCTTACTGCTTCTTTCTTTACAAAATCGAATATTCATCCCTCCTCTCCCACCAGACTTTCATTCAGGCCCTTATTCTTTAACTGGACTATTGCTGTGCCCTCCTACAGTGGTTTCCTTGCCTCCTGTCTCTCCCCACTGATCTATAGAGCTCCACCACACAGCTGCCAAAGTGATTTTCCTTCAGTAGAGATCTAATCATGTCACTCCTGTACTCACTAAACTCCACTGGCTCCCTACTGCTTCCAGGATCAAATATCAAATCCTCTGTTTGGTTTTTAAAGCCCTTTACAGCCTAGTCCAGTTTATCTTTCTAGTTGTGTTATAATTTACTCCCCTTCCTGTACTCTATGGTCAAAGGCCAAATTGGCCTTTTCCTTACACAGAGTCTTTGTACTGGCTGTCCCCCACTGTCTCTTCGCCTCCACCTTACTGAGTCGCTCACTTTCTTCAGGACAGTCCAAGAACCAGCTTCTATACCACAAGCTTCCAGCCTGGAACACAGGTATTCCAATGGGATATGAGAAGCTTGTTCAAGAAGTTTTAAACTTAAAATAAGTTTTATACTTAATTAGTAAACAATTATATTATCCTGTTGAAAAGTTTTTTTTAAGGAACCAAGGAGTACAGAAACTGAAAAAAGTTGGGAATCTTTGTTCTACACAAAGCTTTTCTTCATTCTCACAATTGTAAATGCTTTCCTTTCCTAACTACCATGTATTTATTGTGTATAGATTTATTATATATATACTTAATTACATACCTGTTGTCTCTCTTTCATCAAATATAGACTCATTTAGAGTGGGAATTGGGTTTTTTTTTGTCCTTTGTTTTGTTATTCCTAGTTCCTAGCACAGTGCCCAGCACATAGCAGGCACTTAATAAATATTTTGGAGATGGAAAGGACAAATCACTCCAGTATCTTTGCCAAGAACACCCCGAGTGGGGTTATGAAGAATTGGTTATGACTGATCAATTTAAAAAAACAGCAAATGTTTATTGAAAGACTCCTAGTCCAGAGTATTTTCCAATATGACACTTTGCTGTAGTTTCCAGGTTATTTTCTTCATTACCCTTTGTGCTGAGGACTCTGAAGATTGAGATCATAAGTTCATGAAATTTAAAGATGGATCATCTTAGAAATTTAGTCCACTGCCTCATTTTATAAGCTGGGACTCAAGAGGCTTAGAAAGTTTATGTGACTTTCCTAAGTCTCACACAAATAATAAGTAGAAGAACTGAAGTTTGAATCTAGGCCCTTTGATTTGAAATCCCATCCTCTGCCCTTTCCCTGACAACCTAGAAGGGGAATTTAAATAAGAATAGCTCACATGTCTACAACATTTTGAGGTTTACAAAGCCCTTCCTTAAAACTATAGTTAAGGCCTGTTGTGCAAATGTTGCCAATTTACAGACATGAAAATGATTTAAAAGGCTGTGACTTTCTCAGTCATGTGACTGGTAAAATGTGGAACTCCACCCTATTTCTTCTGACTTAAAGCCAGGTGCTGCTTGCACCAAAGGAACCTGACTGCTAGAAAACTTCAAATCACCTTTTAAACCATGTTCTTGATTAGAGAACACCTAGCAAAATATTTTGCGTGTGGAAGGAAAAAGATACATATTATCAAACAAATGAATTGTTTCCCTTTGTTAAAAATCTCTGAGAAAGAGCTCATAGTATGTTAGAAAAAACGCTGAGCTTAGAGTCTGAGGACCTGCATTTGAATCCCAGCTCTGTTTTATTACCTTTGTGACTTTCAAATCACTGGGCCTCAGTTTCTTCATCTGTAAAATAAGGAAATGTTTATTTAAAAACACGTAAGAAGATAGTAAAAGGGAACAAGTATTTATGTTATTTGATCTTCATAATAACTCTGTGAGGTAGGTTCTTTTATTATCTCGTTTTATAGTTGAGGAAATTGAGTCAGACACTTGCCCAAAGTCACATAGCTACTAGGTATCTGAGTCCACATTTAGGCTGCAAGCTCTGTTTGCTGGGCCACCTAGCTGGTGCTAGACAGTGAAGATTTTG